CTTTCTTTGACAAACTTTAGTACTTTCACATAGCTTGTTTGTTTTATAGATTCAGTTTTTTTCTGTCACTGTTTAAAGGTAGACTAGAGATATGTTATATCCCATCAGGTATCAGCTAGCAGAAAGTATGGTGTCTTAAGGATTTTTTCAAGCAGGTTTTCTTCTCTTCTCCTATATTTCTGATAGAAAATCTCACTATCTTGTGCTGGGATTGGTTCTTACTTGGGTGTGTCAGTGGCTCTAATCGGAAGTCTTCTGTAATGGTGTAGTTACTGAGCTGTGTTACTGTTCGGATTTTGATATTTATTTAAATGTGGTGCTAATCCTTCATAGGCCTGCCATTTAATTCTCCAGCAGATGTTTGGAGGTGACCTGTACTTTAGTAATGAGATTTTGTTTCTATATGAAGTTGGTGGCAGCATTCGGCAAATCTAGCTAGCTACGAGCAGCAGGATGCTCATGAATTCTTCATTTCAGTGTTAGATGGAATACATGAGAGAGAGGGAAAGGGGAGGAATTCAAATAAAGGTAATGCCTCTAGGTTCTGGGATAAGGTGTACTTTCTATTTTGTGTTATGTTCTGTTTATCACATGATGGTGTTTGGAGATGACGAATGGTTTCGAAAAATGATTCCTAGATGTGTTAGAATAAATTTGGGATTACTACCTAGTAGTTTTCCTTTGTAGGATAAGATAACTTCTGTATTTTTTTAATATATTATACGTTGTATTCTAAAGAAGTTGGGTTATGATTTCCAGGAGCTTGAGTTCTGGGATTTAGCAAATAACTATGGGCTTGTCTACAAGGAAATGTCACTGTTTTTGTCCCAAATCATGTGAAAGAACTTGTTAATTTCAAAAACAAAATCTGACTTGCTTGCAGTATGCAGGGCATTAGGGGGTGGTTCACACAGTGGTGAATTTTACATTATATGTTATTTTTACTATGTTTGACTTACAATATATAGATCTTTTTTTGTGTAGATAATGGAGATTGTCAGTGTATTGCTCATAGGGTTTTCTCAGGTATGCTAAGATCAGATCTAACCTGCACAACTTGTGGGTTTACTTCCACAACTTACGACCCTTGTGTTGACATTTCGCTCAACATGGACACAAGCAGCTTTTGTTCAGTGGATGTGGCTAACAAATCTGTTAGGCCAAATGAGGACACTGGCAGATCTACCCTTTTGGCTTGTTTGGATCTGTTCACAAGGCCTGAGAGGTTGGGATCTGATCAGAAACTGTACTGTCAAAATTGTCAAGAAAAGAGGGACTCGTTGAAGCAAATGTCTATTAAAAGGCTTCCACTGGTCTTGTCATTGCATATCAAGCGGTTTGAGCACTCTTCCTTGAGAAGAACATCAAGAAAAATTGATTGGCATTTACAGTTTCCTTTTTCTCTGGATATGACCCCATATTTATCTCCATCAATTGTCAGAAACAGGTTTGGAAATAGAATTTTTGGGTTTGAGAGTGATGAAGCGGATATCTCTGCAGAATTTGAGATTTTTGCTGTAGTCACTCATTCTGGGATGCTAGACTCAGGTCATTACGTGACTTATCTGCGCCTGCAAAACCAATGGTACAAGTGCGATGATGCTTGGATTACTGAAGTTGATGAGAGGATTGTGAGAGCGTCACAGTGTTATATGATTTTCTATGTGCAGAGGATGCTTTACTACAAAGCAAATGAGGATCTGAGCTGCACGCCAATGCCTTCGAGGAGGGACCCATTTGTTCCGATTGCTGGTTGTTGCTGACAACAATTTTCAATTATGGGCTGTTGATTGGCAGGATGTGAAATTACTTTGCCAGATGCGTCCAAGGTTGGTTATCTGTACCTGTGAGATGAAAGAAATGGCAAACTGTCTATTGATGGAGTGTGCTCTCAGAACCAAATCAATCAGCCAGGAACGATAACACACTGCTAAGATCAAGCCCGTGCCCCGAAGAAGTATTCAAAACTGCAGATTCTTAAAGATCAACCATTTGAACAAGATACGCGATACCAATACGAATCATCTCCAAATTGATATGTTAAATGACCACTCGCCATTATGCTTTGAGAGATATTGGCCGGGAAGAAGCAGCTTGCCTCTTCATATGAGATTCTCATGGCTCTCATTTCATGATTGTTTCTGGGAATTCTTTGACTGCAGGTCAGTCATATATAGAACAAATTTTTATTACCAACTAATACAATCACACCTGAATGCATATATCTCTCTTATGTGCTATGTATCCATTGGTTTCCAAGAATGAAAGCAAAGCTCAAATTTGCTGACAATTTCGTATGCCTTCTTGGTTTTCTATCCTTGCAAATTGCTTTGTTCATCGATTACTTAAACTGGAGGAGGTTAACCACTGTGGAAGTGCCCTCTGCTCAGCTTTATGAATGAGGTTAACCACTGTGGAAGTGCCCTCTGCCCAGCTTTATGAATGCCAGCCATTTGGCCGGCCAGCCATCATTTCCCCATAGTTTTGTGTGAGAGGTGGGCAGCCAGCCAAATGCAGTACATAGCTATGTGCCACTGAGTAGACATGTCTTGCCCCCATAAAAGCACGGAGACAGTGGGCTCACTAGAAACCATTGTAGTTAATCACTTGACTGAGCAAACATTAAATCATTATCTTTATCAAGGGGCATGATGAAAAGCTGTAGAGCTTGTGGAAAGTATTGTAAGATATTGTTTGGTTATTTTTTGAAAACAGTAAAGAGAAGATAAAGATAATGACAAGATAACACAGGGCAAGACAAGAACTTCAAAAGATTATACCAATTCTATATAATTCTATATAAGATGACAGATATTTTCAATTTTTTTAATTAATTCATTTTTTTAATTAATGTGATATGCACACGATTATTACTAATTTAAATTTATTAATGTGTTGATATTAAATATATTTTTAAAAATTTAATTTGCTTGATTTGACCTTTATTATTGGACTAAAAACCCTTTTTAAAAAAACAAATTTTGTTGTTTTAAGTTGAGATATTTCATAGATGCTTACAAAAATCCAATGTACTTTCATAAATAACTTCATTTTTTAAAAAAAATTAGAGATTTTTTTGAATAATAAAAATTTAATAAATCATGAAATAGAAAATAAGCTAGAATTAATTTTTGTGAAAATCTCTTAGAAAGTCATGTGAATTTATGACCGATGACAGATATTTTCAATTTTTTTAATTGATGTGATATGCACAAGATTATTACTAATTTAAATTTATTTATTTTTATCCATTATATATATATATATCATTTTAATGTGTTAATATTAAATATAATTTTTTAAAAATAAATAAATATATTATTTTAATAAAAAATATTTTAAAAAACAATCACTAATAAATTTTTAAACACTTTCTTAGTCGCATTACCTCCAAATATTTAACATAGCTGGTAAATCCTTGTGTTCTTCATGTTAAATTTAAATCTCGAGAGAGGTCATCAAGAAAATATTTCTTACATGATCCGTATGAAAAGATTGCTCAATGTTCGTCTGAGAAATGACTTGGTCTCTGACTAAAAAAAACAGGTTTCATAGCAATTATTGAGGCCTGGCACCCTGAGACTTGTATTATCCATTTGGTCGTTCTTGAGCTCCAATATTTTCAGTAACTATTGTTAATTTGCTTGATTTGACCTTTATTATTTGACTAAAAACCCTTTTTAAAAGAATATTTTTTGTTATTTTAAGTTGAGATTTTTCATAGATGCTTATAAAAATTCAATGTACTTTCATAAATAACTTCAATTTTTTTTAAAAAAATAGAGATTTTTTTTAATAATAAAAATTTAATAAATCATGAGATAGAAAATAAGCTAGAATTAACATAATTTTTTTGAAAATCTCTAAGAAAGTCATGTGAATTTATGACCTTCTCAAAATATTTAATGATATTTGAATTTATGTTGTGAAAAAAGATATTCCAACACATGTTTTTCACCCTTGCTCGCAGCATGAACAATATAATTTGAATTCAACTTTAATTTATTTTAATCTAAACTTAAATTAATAAAATATAAAAAACATTATTTATGCATGATTCACAGCAGTGCACGGAACACGGATATGATTATATCTATAATAAAAATCATTGTAAGATTATTGTTATCATGTTTAATAATATTAAATTAATTAGTGAAAAAGAAAGAGTACGCTAGGAATCAATTATAAAGGTTTTAAATCCATTACACATTCTTTTCTATCTACTCGACAATTGGCCTAGTAAGGTTTTAAAAAATTCTGATTTAACTTTTTATTTTAAAAAAATTATTTTTAATATTAATATATTAAAATAATCTGAAACATATAAAATAATATTTTTTTTAATAAAATACTGATTCCAAACTGCTATGAAATAATTTACCTGCTTTCTTTAATATAACCAGCTATCCATTGATTTGTTTTCATAGCATCTTTATAAGGCAAGAGTATATTATAATTTAGTATTCGTAGGATAGCAGAACTAATTTAACTAGTCCTCAAATTTTCAAAACCTTTATATATAATCCCTATTTTCTTAAATTTTCTTACGAGCTGGTTTCTATTTAGAAAGATAAGAAAGAAATGCGTAAGATGAACAAATCTAAATAGAAAAGAAGATGTTTTTGGAAGAAAAAAACTATTAAATCAAGAATTTTCAACTATCGAAGAACTGTTTAATTATTTTTGATATTATAAGGATCATAATCATATAATGAATTTTTCTAAACTATGGAGCACAGGACAGACATGATGATTAAGGTTGGGTTTTTTTTTTTTGTCCCATTTGAGACCTACTATAGCAAGAGTAGACTTTAAAATCGTCTCTTGTTCAGACATGACATGAGCGAAAGTGTCCCCACTTGACGGGGATCAGTGATATTCCGACTCGTGTCACATCCAAATTGGTGTGCAAGAATTTTTTATCTGTTTCCTTGGCAGCTTGTTTTGATTCTTTAGTACAAGGAAAAAAAAGAGTAGCCAATCATATGATTCAGTTTTTGTTTTATAGGTAAGTGTTGTACTTGATGAGGCCTCGGTGCCCATTTTTTTAGAGCCTCGCTCAGGTATTGGTTTTTGCAAGCCGGGCTGGTCACATGTGGTAGGGAGTACCAAGACATCTTTCTCTTACACTGGAACCACCTCTCTTTGTTTGTTCTAGGTTCAAAGATGCATCATCAATCTTCACCCTAGGGACATTAGCAGCTAGGCTTTTAGTTTTGAAGATGCCTAGATCAGAAAAGACTGATTTTTGAACTTGGTTGTAATTCACATTTCTTAAACCCTCTTTGGAAAGGTCACATCTTGCAGAGATACCAGGAGAAACCCACTTTGGGAACACACCGATTTGTTACAGAAACCGTGTTTTTGAGCTTTCAAGTTGAACCGAAGTTAGAAAGTTTCGACCTTTCTTAGGAATTAAATAAGGATTGAGGTTTTGAACTGATCAGAATATTGCTTCTTCTTTTTTCCTGTTTATTGGCCTGAAGATAGCAAGTTATGGGGGAGGATGAGAAGTTGGAAGCCTGTAATAAGGTTGTGGAGGAAGAAAATGAACAAAAAGGAGGGTTGTTTGACTTTTTTTGGGCACCGATTTATTGGTTCAAGATGCTTGCTAATGAGACACATTGGAGTTTTGTATTTGGTGTGTTGGCTGTGTATGGTGTAAACCAAGGACTAGGTGGAGCTTTTAATCGTGTTGGCACTGACTATTACATGAAGGATGTTCAAAAGGTACAGCCTTCTGAATCACAGATTTATCAAGGAATCATTTCAATTCCATGGCTTGTCAAGCCCCTCTGGGGCCTCGTCACTGATTTTCTTCCAATTTTCGGGTACCGGAGGCGGCCTTATTTAATCTTCGCTGGTAGATTTCACCTCTCATTGCACCTTAGTGTAATATTGCAAGGATCTTATTTTGTGGTGTTGCTGGTGCCATTCTTTGATGTTAGCCTGTAAATGATGCTTTATAGCTTGACATTAACTTTTGTATGCATCTGGTAGATTATTCTTGCATCTTACATTGGTAAATAAGCATGATATGATCTCAGTTATGTGTCAACATTATGCCTTACAAAGTGAAAAAATTAGGTTCCTCTCTAAGTTCAGGATAGAGAGTTCTCTGGTTTCTTAAGCATGCTACATGCAGAAGTGTTTAAAGGATTTGTATGAAATAGCATGCTATAGTGAGAGAATGAACGTAGTTAGTGTAAGCAACTAACGTGCCTGCGTAACAATAGGCTGCAATGTATTGTGTTGCATACATTGGGTGAAATTTGGTTGCTGCTTACTCGAAGAGTGTTTCAGTGAAGGAAAAGACTTAATAGCGTTTCTAAAATTCAGAGGGGATCTTTATGAAGTTTACTGCCTTGGCTGATAAAGTAGAACTTACATGTTATGTGCATATTAGGAAGGAGGTCAAACTTTAACAAGTTAGGATGACTGCAGTTCGTAAATCCACACAGTTTTAAGATGATCAATATCTGTTCAACAGCACGATCGTTTTAGAAAATCTATGTCTCCATTCGCGTAACTGAGCATAGCTTGAAGATACAAGGGTAGTCGATGGTTAGGATTTGGTGTTTATTCTCAACAGGTTGAGGATCATCATTGAGCAGCATAAACTGTGCTTGATGTAGGGCATCTGGTAACAGGATGCTTGTTCTTGTTTGATCGAATTAATTCCTGTCTTGTGCAGAACTTGATTTTTTAAGCTATGTACGAAGCATCTTTTGTAGCCTTATGAATTAGAATAGTTTTTGTTAGAGGATAATATAAATTATATCTTGAATCTTACATAACAACTTAAATTATTGAGTTGAGATGGTTCCTTTGACAGTTTTTACTCACAGAATGAGGCCATTTCAGGATTGCTTGGCACCTTCTCCATGCTCTTGTTGTCGTTCCATGAGAACCTCCATATTGTATTTGCTCTGTTGTCAATGACGGCTGGAAGTACTGGTGCAGCAATAGCAGATGTAACCATTGATGCCTGTGTGGTTCAGAATAGTAATATTCGTCCATCCCTTGCTGCTGATATGCAAAGCTTGTGTGCTCTCAGTTCATCCATTGGAGCATTAATGGGATTCTCTCTCAGTGGTATTTTTGTCCACCTGATTGGCCCCAAGGTTGACTGTTGTCCATTCCTCCAGCAATTTCTATTCACTTTTTCTTTCTTTCCTCTAAAAAGATAAATCAGTTTGCACACTGAAACTCGAATATTTCTTCCTCTTCCCTGGCAGGGGGTTTTCGGTTTGCTATCAATTCCTTATGGACTTGTATTTTTAGTTGGAATTTTGCTTGATGAGCCCTTCAAGCCTAACTTCTCTTATAGACAGGTACCTTTTGCAGCTTATGTTCACTCTGTCACTTCCAGGCTCATAGCCTAATGTTTCTCTTCGTTGCTTAGGTAAACCAGAAGATTTTGGATGCCAGCAAGGCAATGTGGAGAACACTGAAATTCCCGGATGTGTGGAGGCCATGTGTATATATGTACTTATCCCTTGCATTGAGCATAAATATCCATGAAGGGTTGTTCTACTGGTGTACAGACTCAAAGGATGGTCCATCTTTCTCACAGGTATACACGGTTATGCACTCGTTTTCTCCGACGGTCAAGAGATTTGAGAATTAAGTATCAAATTATCTAGGTACATAGGGAGACTTACAATGCACTCTTTTGCAGGAGAATGTTGGTTTCATATTCTCGATTGGTTCGATCGGATCCCTCTTGGGAGCATTACTCTATCAAAATGTCCTGAAGGATCATCCATTTCGAAGCTTGCTTTTCTGGACTCAATTGCTATTTGGTCTGTCCGGAATGCTTGATTTGATGCTGGTGCTGCGTTTGAACTTGAAATTCGGCATGCCAGATTATTTCTTCGTTGTCATTGATGAGAGTGTCTCTCAGATGATTAACAGGCTAAAATGGATGCCGCTTCTTGTGCTCAGTTCCAAGCTTTGTCCCCCTGGCATTGAAGGCACTTTCTTTGCCCTACTAATGTCAATTGATAACATCGGAGATCTCTCATCTCAATGGGGTGGAGGCGTAATTCTTCATTTGCTGAACGTTACCCGGACAAGATTTGATAATCTTTGGCTTGCCATTTTGACCCGGAACATATTGCGAATCACTCCACTTTGTCTATTATTTCTGATTCCCAGCGGTGATCCAAATGCTTCAGTACTTTCAACTGACATCTTAGGTGCAAAAGAGGAGGCTGAAACTCCTGAAAATGAGAATATCGAATTGGTGTCCCTTGTAAGCAGTGTTGATGGCAAATAGCTTTGACAAGATTGTTCAAACAAAACATTTTCAAGTTTTCTTAGTTTAAATATAGAGTTCTATGCTAAAATCTCTCAGGATCACCCAAGGTTGATGGCCATCTGCAGCAAGAAACCAGCACGAGCGGCGCTTATCTTTTCCCATCTTCTTTACATGATTCTTTGTACATCATTGTTCAACATCATATGCTTGAGTTCATCAGAAAAAGTGCCTGGATGGGCATATAAAGAACGTTGTTTTTTTTTTTTACACAATCATTTGACTTTGTACGCCGATATTAAAGATTTTTAGCGTCTAATAATGCACTGCAAGTCTGCAACAGCAGTCTGGGGTTAACTTTGAAAGCTTAGGAAATATGGATTACCATATTTTATGCAGCTGCATTTTGCTTTTCAGTTTTTGTTATGGTGCCCTCTATGTTTTATTCTAATAACAGATTTGAAAGTAATTACATACTATAATTTTATAAGAAATAATATCTCTTGAAATTTTACTTACAAGTTTTTCTTAAATCTACATTCTCAAGCTGCAATTTAGTGTGTTGCTGCATATTGGTTAGCGAAGAGAAGAGTGAACTTTTGAACATAGCTTGCGTTCCTTTTTCAAAGGTGGACACACACATGAACAAACTCAAGGTGAATGGTCATTGACACGTTGACTTTAGACTTCACTAAAAAGGGAGCCTGCAACAAAAAAAAAAATTCTTGTGAATGCTTTAGACTTCACTAAAAAGGGAGCCTGCAAAAAAAAAAAAAAAAATCTTTTGAATGCACTGGTTCAGAACTTTATCAAGAGATACAAAAAACTTCCTAAAAAATATTAATGAGGCTAGTTAATTTGAGTTACCTAACAAAAAACTTCCTAAAAAATATTAATGAGGATAGTTAATTTGAGTTAAACTCCATCATGATGTAGTTATAAAACTTGTTTAGTTTAACAAGTGAATTTGATGATCTATCTATTTAAAATTTAGTTCAGATGAAGTTTAATTTTGAATCATATTCTTTTTATTGCAATAAACTTATTTTATTTTTTATAAATAAAAAAGATATTATTTTTGTAAAAATAAAAAAAGTTTACCTATATACTAATGAGTTGATTAAATTAATCTCCGATATAGAACTTAGGCCGGGTCTTATAGCTATCTTGCATAGGGGCTGTAAGTAATGAAAATTTTGAGCCCTAAAAGGGAAAAAATTGAAAAACAAAAAACAAAAGCAAGCGTTGCAAGACACGAAACCTTTTTCACGAAAACACCATTAATAGGTATAATGGCAAGGAGTGTTAATAAATATAACTATATGGGCATTTTTATGTTGTCTTTACTCGTCACTCCAAACTGTACACACCCACAAAGGTTGCCTTTGTAGCCAAACAGGAAGGGCAACTGAGAGGCCCCTTATTCCGGATTAGGGTTAAACTCTTTCACCACCACAAGGCCATCTCTTTATCAGGTGCCAAACTCAAAACCCACCATTATATTAACAGGTAACGAAAACCCTTTTCATTAATCCTTAAATTAATGTTGTTTTGTAATTAATTACTACATAATCAAAGAAAAGCTTGAATCTTTGTTAACAGCAATTATGGTAAATTGATTCATTTTTAATTAATTCTGGGCTTGAATTCATTTTGTTTTACGGTATTTCCATAGAAAGTTTGTACCTTTCTTCTATGAAACAAAGAAAGATTGAGCCTTGCTGAGTGTAATGCAGTGTAATTTGTTGTAATGATGTTATTAGTGTATATAGAAAAAAGGGTTCGTTTGATTGTTGAAATTTAGCTACAAAAGTATGGGGTGTTGCTTTTTTGCTCTTTGCTTGTTTATATTGGTTTTTTAAGGTGATTTTAGATGATACCAAAGATGTGTGAGTTTGTATGATGATGATTTGAACAAAATCTTATGGAGTTGTAATGTGCCCTTTTGGTTTGGATTTATTAGTGGGGGAGTAATGGGCACTCAAATACCAACAAGCAATGATCGTTCAAGAACATATTGGACACCAACAATGGAACGGTATTTTATTGATCTTATGTTAGAGCAGTTGCATAGAGGGAATAGGATAGGCCATACATTCAACAAGCAGGCATGGACAGACATGCTTGCTGTTTTCAATGCAAAATTCGAGTCGCAGTATGACAAAGATGTGTTGAAAAGTCGTTATACGAATTTATGGAAGCAGTTCAATGATGTAAAAGAGCTTCTTGGCCAGACTGGGTTTGCTTGGGATGAAAATCGAAAAATGGTGGTGGCTGATGATGGTCTCTGGCATGATTACATAAAGGTGCATTATTTTTCTGTTCAAATTGTATAATTGAAGTCTCTGTGAAATATTTCATCAATAACATAGGATCCATGCAGGTTCATCCAGATGCTCGATCCTACAAGACTAAAGCAGTGTTGAATTTTAATGATTTATGTGTCATATATGGATATACCAGTGCAGATGGAAGATACAGTCGATCGAGTCATGATTTTGATTTTGATGATCAAGTCCAAGGGGTAAACATGGGTATGTATCTTTGTTTTGCTTTTCCCATATACCTTGATTTAGATTTCTATTCTATTACCCCCTCATTATCCTGATAGTAACCTGGATTCTCAATAAAGTGGACTATAACCAATAAGTAGAGGTATGGAATTTTGATTACATATTCCTTAATGTGCAGGTGATCCAACGAGTAGCCTGTCATCAAATAGTGAGCGTCCAAGGACAGAGTGGACAGCTGCTATGGACCAATATTTTGTTGAGCTTATGCTGGACCAAATGGGAAGAGGCAACAAGACTGACAATACATTTGCCAAACAAGCATGGACAGATATGCTTTCCTCATTCAACGCAAAGTTTGGTCCTCGCCATGACAAAAGGATTCTAAGACATCGATACAAGAAGTTAGCCAAGTACTACAGTGATCTGAAGGTTATTCTGCAACAAAATGGCTTTTCTTGGGATGTAACACAACAGATGATTGTTGCTGATGATGATAAAGTTTGGGATGCTTATATCAAGGTACGTGGACCCAACATTTGAATTTGATTTCTTTTATTCCTTTCCTCTCCTTCCCTTTTTCTTTCCAATGACATTACTTAATATGAGTGTAGGCACATCCACATGCACGGACATATAGAATGAAGACATTGCCAAATTACAATGATTTGGTCCTTATTTATGGGAATGCAAGTGCAAATGGTGTTCAAAGTAACTTCCATGAGGACAAAGACCATGAAGCTGACATTTCCAGAAAGAAGGCTGGTGAGTTATTACTTTCTTTTACCATATTGTTCAGTTATGAGATCTCTAATTTGTTCCTTGGTTTATTTACTACAATCTCATGGAAATTTTCCTGTGAGAGTGATCAAGTGGACAACGGTAGCCCATGGAAAGATAAAACTCAACATTCTCTTTACCTGTGTTTGGTTTTTCTATTGAATGAAAAATGGTAATTTTTCACTTTACATGTTGAAGTAGGCTTAATTGTCTGATAAGTTCTTGGGCCATCATGGATGGATTTTTTTTCCTCCACTTCTTTCTGAATTGTGTATGTGCTTAGGAAAAACACTTGTGTTGATTGATTTGAGATTTCAACTTGCACTTGGTATTCAGACTTATATTTTAGACTTCACGTATATTTTGAAAGTTGAAGTTACCCTTACAAATATGTTTTTTCTGCCTGTAGAAGAAGGAAAGGGGAGCCAATCCCTTGGCAGTAGTGATCGTACAAGAACGTATTGGACACCGCCAATGGATCGCTATCTTATTGATTTATTACTGGACCAAGTGCATAGAGGAAATAAATTTGGACAGACATTTATAAGCCAGGCTTGGATTGACATGGCTGCATCGTTCAATGTCAAATTTCAGTCGCACCATGACAAAGATGTTTTAAAAAACCGGTACAAGCATTTAAGGCGTCTGTACAATGAGATAAAAAATCTTCTTGAAAATAGTGGGTTTTCATGGGATGAAACACGAGAAATGATAACAGCTAAAGATCATATTTGGGATGCTTATATCAAGGTGAACTGTTTTCCCTCTTATATGATTGGTCATTTTTGCGTTCTGTTGCTTACCTGTGATGCATGCAGGCACACCCTGATGCTCGATCATACAGAGTTAAAACTGTGCCAGGTTATCAGAAATTGTGTGTTATAGTTGGACAAGAAAATTCTGGTGGAAGATACAGCCGTTTGGCTCAAAGCATAGATGCTAATGAGGAAATGCCGGTTTTGATGACTGGTAAATAACTGCTGAGACTTGCAATAATTGAATAGTCCATAATACGATGGCATAACCATACATCAGGATGTGAATTGGATACATTAAATATGAATTCTTGCTTTCCTTGTAAAGGTAACAATTAATAAATTGCAATGTGAATTGGGTACATTAAATATGAATTCTGTTTGATATTGTTTTCTTCCTGTACTGTTGCAATTCATTGGACTTTTTGTATAATAATGTTTGTTTGATTTGCAGTTGACCCTCTGACAGTAGATTGGCAGCCAGAGATGAACCGCTATTTTGTTGACCTTATGTTAGAGCAGGTGCATGGAGGGAACAAGATCGATCATACATTCAATGAACAAGCATGGGCTCACATGGTTAAATTATTTAATGACAAATTTGGACTTACATGTGATAAATACAGTTTAGAGAAGCATTATGTCAGTTTGATGAAAGATTGCAACGAGATTAGCAGTCTTCTCAGTCATAGGGGGTTTGCATGGGATGGAACTCAGCAAATGGTAACTGCTGATGACGCTACTTGGGAAGATCATGTTAAGGTGCATTCCTGGTTCTATCAATGTCATTTCTCAATTTTCTCCAAAACCGCTAAACTTCGCTACAGTTTGTAACCACGGTGGGAGACAGTTGCATTAGCATCTTCCTATGCCCTCTTTATGGAAGAGAGAGCCCCTGCCATTGTGCAATGGGCTCTTGTTGCCTGTATGAGTGCTTTCTACTTTTAAAAATGACTTGTGCATCAGGCCTAACCGTAGAAATTTAGTTTGCCTTCATTATGATGTTGGTAGCATGGAATTTTGCAGGGACATCCGGAAGCCATAGCTTACAGAAACAAAGTACTAGACAGTTATCTTGATTTGTGCTTCATCCAAAGAAATGAAGTATCAGATGCAAGACTTGGCGATCCAGGTCCACCAATGCAAAATGAAGAAACTGCAATGAAAGTAGAAATAGTGATGGATGGACTGCAGGGGAATATGCAATTTCCAGTTGAGGACGTTGAAATACCTGATGCACAGAAAAAGCGGCCTGCTACAGTTGCTGAACTTTCTTGCAAGGCGCAGAAAATTGGCAAGGAGATGCGATGCGTAGTTTCAGCATTTGCAAACAAGAAAGAGAGCAAGAACCACATGTCAATAGAAAGTGCAATAGAGACCCTTCAAACTATTCCTAACATAGACGATGAGCTTTTGCTGGATGCTTGTGATCTTCTGGAAGATGAGAGGAAGGCTAAGACATTTTTGGCATTGGATGCAACACTGCGAAGGAAATGGTTATTAAGAAAACTGCGTCCGAAGGAGCCTCAATAGTGAAACGTTGATACTTGTAGCAGCTCGAACGTATAGTTTGAAAATGTAGAGATACAAATCATGTATTTAGTATGTGTTTGGCAACGCGGTGCACCGTAGCCTTAGTTCCTGTACGAGAAATTTTTTGGAATTTATTTTTTATTTAATTATATAATAATAAAAGTAGATATTATAATTCTTTAGAACATTAGAGGTAAGTAGAAAGGAGACGAAATTTAAGAGAGAAACAGAAGGGCTATTTGGGTATTACAAAGAAACGATGAATCAAAAAGAAGGGTTTTGGGTTTGGTGTCGTTTTGAGTGGAAATGAGTAGGTGGTGTTGCGAAGGGATGGTGGGTTTGTTAAGGAAAGAAAGTGACATGTCGTCCAGAGATTAACTGGTTTTTAATTTGTAATGAATGATTGTGTTTCTTGATTATTTTGCGTCCTTCTAAGCTAATTATGTGTTTACTGCTTGCGCTTAATAATTTGATTCGTGTACTTTTTATTGTAAATGTATTAGCATCTTTTTCTTAAAAAGTATACATATAAAATAAAAATATATTTAATTTATTGGCATATAAAATAAAAATATATTTAATTTATCGGTCAAAAATATATTTAATTTATCAGTCAAGTTTAATCGAGTTATAAAATTTAATGAGTTTTAAATTTTTTTATATAATTATAAAAAAATATTTTATTTTTTAAAAGAGAATTAAAGATAAAATTGAAAGAAAATGAATTATAAAAACAAAAAACCTACAAAAATAACTTTTTAATTAAATGAATTCACATTAAAACCAGCCTTAACAAATTAAAAACAATCGGGATTCAATTAAACCCTAAAATAATGAATTTGATGAAAAAAAATCTGAGAACAAAGATTAAGAATTAAAAAATATACAATATTCCAATCCATACAAAGACAATGAACAACAATATAATAATAATAAAAATAGTAGGATAAAATGTGAAGCAACGGGGAAATAACGGATACTTGTCCTTGTACGCATCTTAAAGCTGCTCATGCGTTGCTCAAAAGGAAAGGGAACAGGAAAAACAGGAGGCCAGATCACTTGGCTATTTGCCAAACCCTTGAAAGACCGTAAAGACATTCATAGTGGTTAAGGCTTGGTTTGCAACTCTTTCTGTGTGGTGTTTTCTTTTTTCTTTGTTGTTGCTTGAAGAAAAGATGGCGATGGCGCTGGCTAGGGGTGTAAATGGCCTTGTTGTTGCTTGAAGAAAAGATGGCGATGGCGCTGGCTAGGGTTGTAAATGGCCTGGGATTGATCGTTAGCAGACTCTGGGGCCTCCTCCAGGAGCAGCAGTTCTTGGCCACCTTCGAGGTTGTAACCTCTGCAGTCATGTGCATGACCATGTCACTGACGTTGTGCTTCTTGGCCATTCATAGACATGCTAGAGTAGAAGCAGGTCCTCTTTTCATTTGAGTTTTCCTTCTGCAATGTTTCTTCAATTTTCTGCCATGAAAACAAATTGCGGGTTCATTTCATACCCTGTACTGTATGCATATTACCTGGCTCGGAATCCAGCATTCCGCATGTTACCCTCTTTTCCTTGGATAATTGTTTAGTCATCTCTAATCAGTGAGAAAGCACAAGTTTAGAGATATGGTATATACTTCAATATTTGAGTAACCGATAACTGAAGAGATTCCGTTCTTGAATCATGCATTTAATTCCCATTTTAACTCATGCGATTGGTAAGTCATGATTTACACATACATAAATACCATTACTTGCAATCAATCAAAATATTAGGGTTTTAAAATATGTTCATAAACTTGTCAAATATTGTGTTATTTTTCTAATTGCAATTTAATTTCATGTTGGCTTTACTTCTTTTCAAATAGCTTGTGTTCTATCCAAAGGGCAAAGGTAGGAGGCTGACGTTGTAACAAAACCTCCAAGGGCACCAAGCCATTCAGTAGTAGCATTACTGTAAGAAGAGTGAGCAATTATTTTCTTGTCATTTTCCCAACGCATTCTCTCCCATGGATTCTGACTAGCTTTCTGACCGAACGGATAATAAAGAATGCTGGCCCTTCCAATCCATATATTTTCCATCCATCTAATAATTAACGTTAGGCCTGGTGGTGGGTCTACTAATTCCTCAACACCCTTTTATTATCATCACAGACACCTGGGGTAGCCGCCTTGTGGAGCCTGATGAGCAGCACCTCTCCCAGATTTCGAGTTTACAATGTGCTTTGGAACATTGATGGGGCCGAGTAGTTTCAGGAGGAACCATATGGTGGGCTACGAAGGCTGGCCAGTAGTTATTAACTTTGTCAGGTTGCCTCCATGCAAGGACAAAACTACCCATGACCTTTTATCTCCTCCCTATTTAGAGCCGCTTTTTGTGCATTATTTTTTTTATATTTTTATTGTTGAAACGCAGATTACACACCGCTTGGAGGAAGATTTTTTTTTCTTACAAGCAACCGGCAGCAAGTTGCACGACAAGACATGCCACCCAATTGTAAGAGATATTGTTAAGTACGGAATTGGAGCAAATTAAGCCTCCAGTTTAGGCATGTAAGATGTCGCAATTTTAAGTGAAGTAAAATAGGCTTCCGATATCCAAGGTATCTGTGCTGCGCGTGTGCAACCAACCAAAAAAACGAACCATTAGCTGTTCACATGAACAGTGCAGTGAACAGTAGGATACTTGTTTAAGCAGGATCTGCTTTTCAAGTTTTGTAGCCCATTGATTCAACTCCCTGATGGATAGATTGATAAATTTGTGGTCAACTTCTGTTGGACTTGAATGGAATCCTGCTATGATACGGAGGCAATCATCCAGCCACTTTTCAGATCTAAAGGAAGGAAGACAAAAACTAACAGATTCAAAAAACATGTGACTTAATGCAGCAATGCTCTTAACTTATCAGGCACTGAAATACAACCACGATTAATTTAATTGTGAAAACCGAAAGACATGACTTTTGGTACAAAAGATTATCATGGCAGGCATTCTTTAGCAAGCCAAGTCTTCTTCATCTCCTCCTATGCACCACCACAATGTCCAGTCTGATCCCCTGAAAATTAACTCATCAGTTGAAATTTTGCAGGGGGGTATAAAATCGCAGTGTTCACACACCAATGGGCTCATTTTACTCGTCTCCTCCTATCCCTGTCTCTGCCTCTGTCTCTGTCATGATCATCCCGCTCTTTGCTTCCACTCTTTTCTCGGTAATCGCGGTCCCGTCTTTCACTTTCCAAATTATTACCCCTATC